CCTGATGATTCTATCATTTAGTCTAAGATGTCATACTGCAGCATGTTCATTTATTCCTGAGTAAAATGTGAATGCCTGCTGCTTGTAAACCATCTTGACAAGGTACTGCCTGTTCCAGAGGACACAGCTCTGAATCCCCACAGCACTCAGTCCAAAACAAGTGTCCAGTATATTTTCCCATCATATACAAGTGATTTAATCTAAAAGGAAACCAAGAAATATTTTGACCACTGTTCCACTGCTTCCTAGGTAGAAAAATCGTATTTCCAGCAGAATTGATAGCATTACCTGTATCACTTGTGCTTTGAATTACCAAGCACTGGAAATTGTAGGTATCCATGGCAACGGCACATATGTAAGTGTGATAAACTCAAGTCTATTTCTGGGTTTTGGAGAGGTGGCCTGTTACTTCCAGAAAATATTAGTCTTAGGAGTTGGCACTACCAAAGTCAGCAAAAATTAGCAATCTCAGGTAATCAGATTTTATCTCTCATAATCTGTTTCTCTGCCTAGGTGGCATTAGCAACACAAACACTATGAACATGAAAGTGAATGCTGAAAACTCCTAACACTCAAGTCAAAGCACAGTACTATACAAGTACTTTTCTGGAGGGAAAATATCTCCTCTAAGTTATGGCAAAGAGAAATGATATTGTGCAGTAAATTGTTTGGCCATGGAAGGGGTTACATACAGAGACTTTCTGGCAAACCTGCACCTGTCTTATGTATGCTACTCTTCCATGTAACACTAAATACAGGTGTATAGGCAGACTGAGGTCAGGTATACTAAAAACCTAAGTGAGTGCTCACTCAGCACTTCTTGCACTGTCTGTGTCACATTATACCACATATGTGCACTGAATAACAACAGAACACAGAGCTACGTGCCAGGATGTTACAACACTTGTAAGTATTTTCCTGGAATAATAAAGAAAAATCTAATAAAGCCTGTTTTCACACAGGTGTATTCCATATGTCTTTACTGTCTATCCTGTTTTTGCATCATAAACATGGAATGGTGTCTAACCTTGTTTGATCCAAAACACAGATTTGTAGCTCAAACTGGTTTAATATCAGGACACAGAATATCCTCTAAAAAACAGGAGTACCTGGAAGACTGGTAACAAGTTGCCCTCTGATAAAATCATCCACTTCTTCAGGTTTTAAGTGATACTGTCCATCTGGTTTTGCTTTACGAGTTGCCATTCTGGCCAGCAGAATATTGGAACCTGCAAAAATAACAACTTAAAGCATGTCTGAGGTAACTTCTGTCTTCTAAGGTAGAATGTTGCAGTTCAACAGTCAAGGAAAAAATGCAGGAAGTACAGTCAAGTTCTTGCTCTTTTACAAAGAACTTAATGAAATATATTCGTAAGTATTTGCAGTGTCTACTTCCAAATTAGCAGCTAGCAGCATCTGTTATTAGAGCAGTGAAACTGCAGTGGTAACAGCAATTGCAAAGTGATAAAGGTAGAATTCTGCTTATGGTCATGAATTTCAGCTTGACTCACAAGTAGATTTCAAACACTTACAGACACTGAACTTTAGTATTAATTAAGCAAAAAAGAAAGGAAGGGGCCAAGTGAAAAGAAACCAAGGAAGCCTTTTCAGATATGTGATTTCATATACAATATCTACTACAAATCACACAAATATTTGCTTTCAGTACCTTCTAACAACTCTGTGCAATGTCACCCTGCAAACTCTTACCAAATCTGTTAAAGAGCACAGCCTATGCTTGTTTTTCTGTTTACTGTAAAAAATATAGTAGCATTTCACAAAAATGAATGTAAGAATATTATAAAGTCAAAATTTTATTACACTATTCAGATAAAAAATGAGAACTGAAGGCAACTTTATGATTTTTTGCTCAAAACTTGCCACTTAGGAAGATTTTCTTGCGTTTTTATGTAAATGACAACATCTCCCACAAACACTGAAGACTTTAGCAACCTTCCACAGCTTTGATATACCTAACAACAGCAGGCAGAGCTGGTGAAGAGAAATGAAGTGACTTACCCATGCCAACAGAAGCAGAGCACTTCGTTCGGTCTTTGATCTCGGTGCGGAGAGCGTTTGCAAACTCATCAGGAGTCACTCTGGTCTCTGTAAGGATTTCAGTGATATCTACTAGTGCTTCATCACAACTGACTGCTTCGATGTTATGAGTATAGCTATCAACACAAAGTAAAGGAGGTGAAACACCAGCAACAGCTCAGCATCTGTTAAAACAAATACGTAGCGAATAAAGTCTTCCTTTTGCCATTTCCCTGCTTATTTGGTATCACGCAGCATTTACAGACTAAAAAGGCTGAAACAGCAAATTACAGCAATACTCACAGAATCATAGAATCATCAAGGTTTGAGGAGACCTCTAAGATCATCAAGTCCAACCATTAACCTGTCACTGCTCCCTAAACCAGATCCTCCAGTGTCAGATCCAGACACCTCTGAAACACCTCCAGGGATGGTGACTCCATCACCTCCCTGAGCAATATTCCAGTGCCTGAACACCCTCACAGTGAAGAAATTTTCCCTAACATCTAATCTGAATCTATTACTAATGTAGGACTAATTCCAACATGCATCATGGTTTTAGAGGAATAGTTGGAGGAGCTGAATATTTATTTTTCATTGCCCGTAACAAATTTTCAGTTTTGTTCAAGTGCATCTTAAACCAGAAAGTAGTTTCTAATAGATGTTAGTCCAAGAACCCAAAAACCACCTCTTGGGAGAATCCCACTACAAAGCAGAGATCTCCTTCTCATAGTGTCATCAGTAAAAACTTTGACAATGACTCTTTGGATGTCAGATGTTGACTGTTTACAGAATTTGGCTTCAAGATACAAGAATGCTCAGAAGCTGAAAGCAACAATACTATGAAAGGAAGATCTCAAACAGGAATGGCTTTATTGCAGCTGAAGAGCAACGTGGAGATGAAAATACAAATCGAGTAATAACATTCAGCAGTGGCAAATCAAACATGCTTGATAACCCCACCATGAGATCATGTAAACAACCAGCACATTACCTTGCTAATATTTCATATACTGTCCGTGCAACTTCCTTGTACGCATCGAAGTCATACGAAACCGCCTGAAGATTTGGACACAACTTTTTTGCTTGGCCAAAAAACATTCCATTCTTTATGCCCACTTGTCTAAAATTAAATAAATAATAATAAAAAAAGCCCAATAAGCACAATGCATACTTTTCCACAAATTAACAGGGAGCATTTTCAAATCAATTGCCTTTTCCCACAAAAACGGGCAAAGGAATTCAGTCGCACAGTTTGTGATTTAATAGGTAAGAGAAACAACTGCAAATAGAGTATTTAAATCAGTTGTGTAATGTTCAGCCATGCAGTGTGAACAACCTGCCATTGGGAAAATGCTGAAGACAAAGATTCCAGAAAGCACTGCTATCTTCTGTTTCAAATTAAAATCACAAGATTCCAGAAAGCACTACTTGCTATCTTCTGTTTCAAATTAAAATCAGGCCCATACTACAATGACTAAGGCAGCTGATCACAGAATCATACAATCAATTGGGTTGGAAAAGACTTCCAAGATCATCAAGTCCAACCCTACCGTGGTCACTAGCCCATGGCGCTAAGTGCCACATCCAGTCTCAGCTTGAAAACCTCCAGGGATGGGGAATCCACCACCTCCCTGGGCAGCACATTCCAATGCCTGAGCACTCTCTCTGGAAAAAATCTCTTCCTAATAGCCAACCTAACCCTCCCCTGGCAGAGCTTGAGTCTGTGCCCTCTTGTCCTGCTGCTAGTTGCCTGGGAGAAGAGACCAACCCCCACCTGACTCCAACCTCCTGTCAGGGAGTTGCAGATCTTGCATTCACTGCCCAGTCTTACATACTTAGGTTCCTGTTAATAAACAAACCCTAACTTTTCGAGCTATAAACAGCAGCCTGCCTATCCCAGCCCACCTAGGTTCCTGTTAATAAACAAACCCAAACTTTTCGAGTTATAAACAGCAGCCTGCCTATCCCAGCCTGGCAAGCTTGACAAAGGTTCCAATGATGAAAGAATTTCTGTAGGATTATTTCCATCAGGGAGAAGAATATTGTATTTCCAACACTGTGCTTACATTTATAACAAGTTTATACGTTTATTAACTTATTAAACATTTATAAGTTATGTTACTGGGGATGCTCAGCACAACCTCAGCAAGAAATGCTTTTAGGTTTAGTAGCCAAGCTACTAAAATCTGTCTGATTTTCAGAAAAATCTTCAGATTGTCATTAATTCCATGCAATAAGGGAATTTTGATACATGATGCTAATATGATGAAACCAACAATCCCAGTGAAAGGCCTAAGGTTTTCCTTGGTGGGCTTTAATTCAAGATGCACCTAGGTCAGGTTAAGAGTTGTTGAGCTGTGTATAAAAAGCAGCAGCATCTGCAGGGAAGACACTGTCACATTCTAACAACCTACAGAACTATAACATCTGAACACATCAAAATTCCTCTCCAGATATATTTCAAGAAACTAACAATGACTATTTTTGGAGATCTTACACCTATCTATGTGAGATTTTCAAGCAAACTACTGAGTAACTTTTACCCACCTGGCTTCATAACTACAAGAAGCTATTTCAGCCATGGACAGGACAGTGAGATCGAGGTCAGTTCCGTTCACACGTGTGGAATCTGGATGATCCCAGACTGATGAGTCCAACTTATCAGGTACTCTAATTTCTGCTTGGAAAACAAAATTTGTCTTCATGTTATTTCTCCTAAGAGTTCAACAGAATGAACGTAAGTCAAATAAAAATTATGCATTTAATACAATTTCTATACTATTCTCTATTGATGAAGAGGTTCTTAATACTATATTAATTCATATCATGGTCCAGGAAAAAAAGCCAACCCCCTTCCCCAGAAATGTCTCTCTGTAGAAAGGTCTGTACATACTACTGAGAAGATTAAGGTATAGAAAAGTTTTGTTTCCCCTCAAATTACTGTACAGCAGCTTGTTGCTGCCTACACACACCATACTGTAAAATAAGATTGACCTTAGCTTCAGTGGCTATAAAAATGATCAAACACTTGAGGGTAATTGCTACATTCATATCCTGGAAACAAATACAAAATACTCAAAAATTTACCAACTGCTTGGCTAAACAAGAAGACACTTAGCTCTGCTCCTTTTTACAAAAAGTATACCTGACACCAGAAACTGAAGTTTAGAATGCAAACCCACTTTTTATCATACTTAAAACTGTTTTTCTGACAGTCAAGATACCACAAAGTGATTTTTAAGGAGTGAAATAATCAGAATGCTAATTACCTTAAATTGAAAAAACACTGGCTAGAAACTTCTATTTCCTTTAACACTCTTATGGGGATATTAATTGAAAAAAACCTTCTGCTTTTGCCTACTAATAATTCTCTAATTAGGCTATGCCAACTTGTCTCAAATAGCACCACAAATTTCTCTTGGATCAAAATTATACAATTAGAAATACTGCAACCCCAGCCCTAAAGTGAGACAGACCTTCCCTAATCCTATAAAACTTTACTGCCTGATCTTAGATACATTTCAGAGACTTCTCCAGGCCCACTGAGCACTAGGTACTAGACAAGAATTCCTTAATGCTGAATACTGGGAATAAGTAGAGGATTTTCTATTTCTTTCTGTTTTGGTGTTCACAATATGTAAACCTTGAAATACTTCCTATACTCTACATATGGAGCAGCCTGAAACAAATTACTAGCTGCAGAAACTACTATGCCCTGCCAAAGTCCCATCAGAATCAAAACAAGGTATCCTACAGACAAATGGAACCCACTAAGCAGTTTTTTTCAGCACTGTGGTCTATTTAATACCATACACCTTTGTAACAGTCAATGGGGAGGTCTCTTCAGAGTGCCACAATGCCTAATTACACACCACAGTACTAACAACTTACACACGACAGCCTGACTGAAAGCAAACATGGTGCTAGGTGCACATATGAGCAGTATCAGACCAGAGAAAGTGGTGTAATGAGTGAGTGGAGACAGCAGGGGTAGAACCTGACTCACGTGGAAGATTGCTTTTATTCAGACTTTCTGCTAAATTTGTGCACCTTCTCATGTCTTAAATATTTTACTGTACGATGAGCTTAGTTAAGTTACCTAAGATGTCTGCAACTGAAAAATCAGAGCAAAATTATGCCCCAAATAAAGATAAGAATGACAAGAACAACTTCTTTAGTCCATGCCTTCCTGTGCCCTGGCCTGAGATGATGCTGTCATCTTGTCTATCTTCATTGGCTTCGTCGGCTCTCTCCACATCGCAGCAGAGCAGATCCCCCCATGAGCTGATGGAGTCACTTCATGTGAAATTCAGGGCAATGCAGAACACATTGTCCTCAATGGAAGGCAAGGTAGAGAACCTCTCACCAAGAGCTGGGAAACTAGACAGGCACATGGTGAATGTGGAGCAACGGATGGAGAAATCAGAGGCCAGGACCCAAGTCTGTGAAAAAGAAATCGCTGAGAATAAATCTGTGACTAATATGATGGTTAAAATCTGCTGCTCTTTAGAATGAAAAGGGAGATAGTAGGGTTGAGGGAAAGGAAGCCTAGAAAACATTCACATCTTGGGCATCCTGGCCATGGAAAAGAGACCCCAAACTATGAATCCTGACTAACATATGTTAATCTTTTAGCTTTTGAACATGACTGTTAAAAAGATGGCATGTATGGAGAAAGGTAATTTCTACTACCCAGAAAGCCTGTCTCCAATTTGGGGATTTAGGGTGAGAATGATAGAAAGGCATTAAATTTAAAAGTTATGCACTTTTGGATGAATTCAAACAAGAAAAAGAAAGTATTCCATAAAAGATTCAAGATTCTAATGACACTAGATATTTGTCTAGATTAAAGTCAGGAACCAGTATCACTAAAGAAGTCACTTGCAAAAATCAAAATAAAATAAAAAAGAAGTAGCTGAAGCAGCAGAATTCAGTATTTGGCCAAAAGTGATTCATAAGGGTTTGGGGATGTTTGGTTGTGTGGTTTTTTTGGGGTGTTTTGTTTCTGTGGCTTTGGTCGGCTTTTAATTGGGAATATTTTTTTCAAATAAGCAAGACCTGGAGAAGGCAAAATCAGAGAACAGCCTGGAAAAGTACGAAGCACCCAAAAAAAGGAGTGAATTCCATGTTGAAGCATGGATGTAAAAACATGCTCACGTTCTAAGTTGCTCCCAACTACCTTTCCATTTCATTCACATAGCACATCCCCACTGTGTATGCTGAATGGCCTCAGTTAGCATTCTGTATTTTGGCATTCTAGAAAAAGTCTTTTTCCATGTAATACATGTGCCCACTGGGCTGTGTTTCCCTCTGGCATGGCACAACTAAACACATGCTGTGAAGTGTGTCACAAACTTCCTAAGACACTGTGATATTCAAGAAGCCTAACCAGCAATTCCACCTTTTCATCTGAGCCCATTACTAACTGTCACTTCCCAAAAGGAAGACAAGCCCTGTACACAGGAGAATGCAAGCAGAAAAAAACAGCTGGGTTGTTTTCTTTTTGTTGGTAAAACCATTGTACGTGGAGACAAAAATTAATAAAAGAGTCTAAAAATCATTATGAACTGCAGCTAATGAAATAGAAACTATAAAAAGAGTATCAGGAAAAAAATCCTTTCACCAAAAACAATAGGTTGCACCATCAGACTAAGCATCAAGAAAGAAAGAGCTGCCTGCCTGCGTGCAAGCCAGTGAGACTGGATGCTGAAGTTAAAGAAATGAATGTGTGGATATCCAGAAAAAGCTGCCTCAGTAAGAACTGAGCTTGGTATACAATGAGGTTGAAATCTGCTGTACCCTTAAGCAATAAATACAGTGTAAGAGATACTACTGAATTTGTGAATCACAAAGAACATGACTGATATCAGCTAAACTTATGCAACTTCACCACCTCACGCTCCAAACATCACTTGGTTAAGTCACACCCTTACCCACTGTAAGGGCCTAATAAAGCTTAGGAAGTCACTGTGTAAAACTGAATTACCAATGAATGCTTCACACACAAGGTACACTAGAAAACCCAACTCCATGAAAACCACAGCTTGCTTTCCCTGGAGCATACTGCAAAGTCCTTAGGAACTTAAAGGCCACTGGGTTCCACAAAAACATTCCACCTCAGTCTCAAACATTCTTAAACTACAGCCAAAAGACAAATAAATGGCATCACTTCCAGCAATACCTTGCTTCCAATATCTTCAAATACCACAACTGCCAATTTTCAGAGCACTAAAGTTTCATAAACAACTATGGAAGAACAACCTGTCTTTTCCCCCCTCGAGTATCACCAAAATAACTCACTGAGGTGCAAATTTTATAACAATGGTAGTTGCTACCATGAGGTTGGTAAAAACTGCCTGTACAAGGGGCAGCTGCTATTTAATTTCAGTTTAGATTTGGATGTTGAGTTTCTCCTTTGCCCCTTGTACAGGCAGTTTTTACCAACCTTGTGGTAAACTAAGCTTCAAGCTGATTGATCTGACTGTTGCTGACCACTGAAATTGCTCATGTTTAGCAATATACCTTCTCACACTAAATAAAGTTCAGGCAGTATAATAATAAAACTTGTTAACAAACTTATGGGATGTTTATATTAGTATTGCTACTATTTGAGGACACAGAAAGTCACAAATTTCTAAGTTAGTGCAGGCAAGAATGGAATTCTCAAACTACAACAGATGCCCTGGTTTTAAGGAAGCCAAGTATCGAACAAACAAAACTCATGGAAGTCACACAGACTTTCCAGAAACCTAAAATCATAGAATCATAGAATCAACTGGGTTGGAAGAGACCTCAAGGATCCTCGAGTCCAACGCTACCGTGGTCACCAGACCATGGCACTAAGTGCCACATCAGTCTCAGCTTGAAATCCTCCAGGGATGGGGAATCCACCACCTCCCTGGGCAGCACATTCCGATGCCTGAGCACTCTCTCTGGAAAAAATCTCTTCCTAATAGCCAACCTAACCCTCCCCTGGCAGAGCTTGAGTCTGTGCCCTCTTGTCCTGCTGCTGGTTGCCTGGGAGAAGAGACCAACCCCCACCTGACTCCAACCTCCTGTCAGGGAGTTGCAGAGGGTGAGAAGGTCTCCCCTGAGCCTCCTCTTCTCCAGGCTGAACACCCCCAGCTCCCTCAGCCTCTGCTCATGGCACTTGTGCTCCAGTCCCTTCACCAGCCTCGTTGCTCTGCTCTGGACCTGCTCCAGCCCCTCAATGTCCCTCCTGAGCTGAGGGCCCAGAACTGAGCACAGTATTCAAGGTGTGGCCTCACCAGCGCTGAGTCCAGGGGCAGAATCACCTCCTGGTCCTGCTGACCACGCTGCTCTAAGGATCACCTAAATTAACTCACTGTACACAGATATTCTACACAGGCAACTCAAAAGCCAACTTCAAACAATCAGTTTCTCACTAGACATGTGCTGTTGTTGCTACTTTTCTAGTAAGAAAATTGTATAGACTTTTAAAACTCATTCTGTACCTTCTTCTCTACAATAGACTTACTTAGAACAAAGTGATCCTGGACAATCTGTATGTATTTCTTATTTTAAGTAACTACTTAACATTCTACCTTATACTCAACCTCAATGAAAGTGAGTAATCCCTAAAATGACTCTAAACTAATTTACCCACACTGAGCAAAGCTAATTAGCAAGAAGTCATGGTCAGGCTATTCCTGAGGCCACAGAGCACCGTGTTGTCCAAAGGTCTTTCTTTTCTTCCCTGCTATCTCCCACACGAGAGAAACAGTGTTATCCATGGAACACCTTAGCACTACTTTAAGGAGAAAGTCTTCAACAACACAAGTTACAAACACACAGACAAACAGACTCATCTGTACCTGCTTTGCCATTCAAGAGCTTATTCTGGTAATACTGCAGTTCGAGCTGTGGGTTGGCCCCAGGGCGCAGCAAAGCCTTTCCTGCACCTCTGTTACTAGTCACAGCCACTGGCTTTCCTGTGGGGAAGAAATACAAATACTTAAAAGTCAAGATCTACAACAGCTTCCACTTAAATAACAACACAACTAGGATAAGATCATAAAAACTTCGGATTTGTTTTTTAGAATTTCTTTGAAGCTTCTATGCTCTTACAGCGTTAAGGAAGAAACAGCTAGGGAAGTGATTTGGCACTGTGACAATGACTCTGTTGTCTTAATTGCAGTCACGTGTAAAGAAAAGATTTTTCAGGAGTGAAAATACAGCCATACTAGTCTGTCTTGAACAGCAAGTATAAATTGAAGCTGTGAAACTTCACCAGCGACCTAATGATTCATTAGTTTAAGATACAGCAAACACTGTACTGATTTTAAATACTTCAACATGTTTATTAGCTGAAGTATACAAGAATATACACACATACCAAAACACTCAGTTCCACTTGTTTAACTGCACAAAAGCAAATCTTTAGTAAACTTTCGACTTCTCTGTAATATCAACACCTCCATAGTTTTTCTACAGGGAGCTAATTTATGCACTGAAAGTTCTGGCAGACTTCTGTGGAACAGAAAAAATATTTGCAGAGAAGTCCTATGTTCTTTATATTCCAGTAATGGAATTTGAAACTTGGCAGGAAATAAAGTTTTAAGGATCCAAACACAGCAGGACTATCTTTGCTAGCAGTTGCTCCTGCCTTTGGATAGAAGAGAGCAAAGGAACTACATATCCAGCTTACTCTTTTCCAAGGTCTCTGACAGCTGGGTGTGGGATGGTCACCACTGCACCAAGACTTGGGCACCACTGAAGTTCACAGAACAAATAGGATCTCCATTTCTGAATAGTACACTTGTGAAAAACAAACCCACCAAAACTTGCTAAGGTGCTCCACTAACTCTCATATGTCCTAAGGATGATCACACAACTCAGACTTCTAAAGGCCAACTGAATTGTTCATCCTCCAGGTCTTCTAATACTTCACATGTAAGACCTTAGATAGGAAAGGGAAGGAGAAGCAAATTTTCCTTGAAAAATATGCATCAGGCAAAGAGACAACTAATTCTCAGCCTTGACCTTTCCAGTTTTCTAGTTAAACAAAGTTTCTTAAATTAATTCAATTCAATTTAATTCAATTAGGATATCCCATTCTTTTTATTTTTTTATTAAACAGAGTGACCAAACCAAACCCAAGGTACAACTTTTGGTACCACTCAAATTCCACCTGATTTCCAATACTTCAGATTCAAGTCTCAGTAAGATATGTGCAACGTTATAAGAGAACAGTTACCACAGATTTTACTTCTCTCTTCTTACTTTAAATACTGAAAGGAGATAGCAAGGGGAATTCCAGCTGTCTCTTCCACTTGCTTTTGGATTGTGAGAAAGTAAAGAGGAATATGAAAGTTGCATGGACTGAGCAGCGAAGATGCAAGAGGAAAAGATTAACATGGCAAGTTAATTTTACAGGTGTGCAAATTTGGGTTTTGAAAGGCTTAAGTAAGCAAACTGTAACATGCAGAATTGAATACTGACCTTTGAGATCTGGTCTATTTCGGATAGCCACAGACACAAAGAAGCAATCCATGTCCACGTGCATTATACAGCTCTGTGGCTTGGCTGAGCTCGCAACAGACACATTACCTAGTATGAAGATACACCAACAGAAAACTTGAACCCTAATTTATACACTTTAGTACTACTCACAGTAGTCATATCAAGGACTATTACCAAGTTTTTACCACCTCTAAAGCATAAACAGTTCTGTTTCCTCTCACCAAGAAGATATTTACTCTGAGAAAGGTAAACATAAACGGTAGATAAAAGGCCTAAACAATGCATTAACTTAAGAGTTGCTATTTTATTTTCTCATAATTGACACCTTCCACCTAAGGAGCTCCCCCAGTCCAAGGAGGTTAGTGCATACTGTGCACACTGGACCTTAATTTTGCTATATTAACACTGAATCTGAAACGGAGAATTTTAATCCCTCCTGTTCATCAATCAGAAGACTGTTTCAAAAGACAAAAACACAGTTTAACTGAACTAAGAGCTACCATTATTCTTCATGAGACACACCAAAATTAGCTTTAAAACTCACATGCAACTGGATTTTGTCACTGCTGTACCTAGACTCATGCAAATACTCAGCAGAGATGAGCAAGATACCTCCAGCCTGCAAAACTTAAGATGCCTAAAGCATTTCCAACACTTCCTGGAAGTTCAAGTCTGCATATCTATGTTGCTAACCTGCCAGAGGAAGCAATAACTAACCAAAAAAAGTCTTGGTTTGAACAATGCATAAAGTGTAACAGTGAAAAAATACTTGAATACATGAAGTGAACTGTTCTGCTTAACACCTGAGTTATACCTGGGTGATCAGGAGAGTGTTCTCCTGGTTTTAATAACACAATTGAACTCATTCTTTGAGAAATAAGGACTGTCTTACAAAGGGCATTTTTACAAATCAAGTGATCAAGTTAAGGAGCTGCTACTTGTCAACTGAAACACAGGCATTGACTATTTGAATCATCTAGGCCAAATCGAAGTGAAAATAAAAATATATTAGCTTATACCATATTTTGATATAAATACACACTTAGGTAGTTTTTAAGCTAACATGTTTGGTAACTCTGGTGTCCTAGCACAAACACAGAATCAGTGAATTTATTATCTAACAATAAATTTTCTGATGTGGCAATTTCTCATCAAACATATTTTCAGATGATTACAGGTGAGTATTTTTACAGCACAAGAACTGGAATCTCTTCAGTGGCACAGATTAATTGAATAACACTGTAAACAAGAGATTCTAAAGATGCAAAATACCTTATCTGTCTTTGTAACACTCTGCCTCTCATGAATTACACATTTTTTCACGTTGGCTCTTGATGCAATGACATAAAACATTTCTCTTCAAGCAAATTTCATATGATACTGCTATCCCTTTGAACACACCCAGAGCTATATAAACTCTTACTAATAAAAAAAAAGTAGATTTTAGCTCACTTCCAAATGTTACTCATCTTTAAATTTTCATGCTGAACAATCAAGTTTTTTCCCTAGATTTTCACACAGCAACTACAGACTTGGGTATTTAGATATATGTATAGAGTATCTTTTCCCCTTGATTAATCCAGGTATCTTGGTAAAGTCAGGAGTATTATTTCTACAAAAAGGAACTGAGTATAGACCAGAGTTAGCACATTAAGTCCCATTTTAAGTTAGGAAACCCAAACAAAGCCAAAAGCAGTTGGATCCATTAGTTTTCACTGCATCAAAGTCACCAAGCTTTTCCAGACAGTCTGACTGCAATATGAAAATTGAACACTAACCTACGTAGTCTCACTTAGACATTTAAGGTACAAAGATATAAAGCATCTTCTCAACATAAACCTTCTTAAACAAGTATCTACCTGGGTCAGTTTTAAGAGCAGACCTGCCTGCTTTCCGTTTTTTTAACTTTTCCCTTCCTGGAAAGACACCGCTGTTTTTTCTCTGCAGGCTGTTGACAAACTCTGTCAATTCACACTTCCACGTTGATATATGATGCAGTCTTGAACGTGAATAAAAGTCAGAAATAAAACTACAATCTGAAGGTTTGGACACAGGTAAGGAAGCTGCCTGGCCAGGAGTAGGTACAGAAGTGCTTTTTGTGCTTGAAGGCCCCTGAAGAGTGGAGTGGTGAGCACCATTTATTTTAGCATTACTGTGCAAAGATGAAGATGAGGATGAGTTACTCATAGTCCTATGTGGACTCCACGGAAAGTCTGTACTTTTGTTGCTTTGCTGCAACTGCTGCATTGTGCAGTCTCTAAAGTCAACCATGCCTTTTTCAGTCTTCCCCTCCTCCTGCACAGGGCCTGGGGAGAACCTGCTTGCAACACCATTGCCGGAGGGCACCGAGCAATCCTGTGTCTTTAAGGCACTGGTAGAAGTGTGTGTATGTCCATTAAAAATGGCAGTGCTGTCTTTGTGAGACTGAATCCCATTCTGTTTCCGTATGGGAAGAATCTCCTCCAGCTCTGTAAATCCAAAATCCTCACTTTCTTCTTCCTCGTCTTCATTCCAGCTACTTATTCCATTGGGTGTGATCTCATTTTCCATTTCACACTTTTTAATATGATTTCTGAAACAGATACAATCATTAAATACCACATCTTTTATAAATGAAGGCACGTTTAGAGGTCATTTCAAGCGTCAAGTATTTCTCTTCCTGATTGTTATCAGTAGATACTTAAGCAGTTTTCACATTCCCAAGACAATGATCTCAAACTATGAGCCACAATGGCACAAAATACTGTATTGCTGTGGAAGAGCCATCCCACATTTGGTGTATTACTAACACAGCACTGTCAGGAGTTTCCATGAGTGACCAAAATCAGGCTCATGGTAGAAAAGTCATTTCCAAGGCCTTTAGTTCAGCATCAGCCTCCAACTGAATTAGTAATTTTTTTATTGAGTAACAGAACTGTATTGCCATGGACAGCATCAATGTAGCAGGAATATGCAAACCACAAGGGCTTATCCTTTTATCAAGAGATGTGATTTTCCTTATCTAGTTACAAACAAACGAAGTATACACAGAAAATTAATTTTTATAAAATTATTTTAGATGTATGTGTTAGATTTATTTTTTTCCTCAATGAAAAAAATACATTCAGGGTCTAAAAATAAAACATCCTTGGCTTTTGGGAAAAACACAAACGACTTTTCAACAATTATGCATATAAACCAAAGTATTCTGCCATGAGTGCACTAGTAATTTACACTTGCTTTGACAGCGTGGAGATGAAGTTCCCATACAAAAAATGGACTCTGTAACAAACCCTAAAGGGAATTAAATCAGAAAGAGTAGTATCCTTGGCCCTGGTTGAGCAGCAGCATTGAACCAAATGACCTCCAGAGGTCTTTTCCAACCTAAAACATTCTATCAGGTTACAATTCTTGCCTCTAAAGAACAAACAGGCACTTCTGAAAAAGATGCAGGTGCCTTCTTTAAAAAACAATCTATAAACCAGTTCAAGTGGAATGTTTCTTTGCAAATTCTAATTGCTCTGCCAGTTAAAGTTTTACTAGTGAGTGCTTTCTGTTCTGTTCTCAAGGTCTTAGGTCCTTTAGGAGAGATTTTTCTACTATAATTCCATTTTTTAATCCATCTTCTCTCTCAAGTGTGACTTAAACCTTGGTGTTAGCATACATAAGGTATGCTGTGACAGTTGGGTTTTTTTAAGAGGCTAAAGAAAGAGCTTAACAACTAATGTGCATTTATATTCACACCTAGGCACCTTTAGCAAAAGTAGTCAAATTATACCAGCTTTTTATTTTTGAAGTGAAGATCTACTTTTCAGTGTCACTAGTGAGAATCCTTTAGTGCATGCCTGTTGTTTCCACACAGATACACCACATCCTAGGACTCCTAGGGCACATTACCAAGCAAACTGTGGTCCAAGGGACAGAGACTATGCTCGGGGTCAAGTTAACTGTAGTTCTGTCCTCAGCTATTTATATAGCTGTACCTTACTTTTAAATTTCAGTGCCTCGGAGCTTCCCTCTTACAAAGCTGAAATGAGCTTTACAAACGCTACATATTTATAAATGCAAACCCATTATGAGTGAAAGATGAGCATCTGCATTACAAGACCAGAAACTTACACCCTGTGGAGATCTTTAGCTATATTGCTTGGACCTGGCATGGCATCTTCAGGTTTGCATATGCTGTTGAAGTTGAGACCTTTTTGAACACTTGACTGCTTGGTGTAAAGCTGATAGGGAATGTGTGAGAGGAGACGCCCAGCTTTAATGCTGAAAGAAGAGAAAGGAACAGGTTACTGCTTCAGAAATTCTAACACCACCAACCTTCAACGCTAAAATAACACCCTCATGTACAATAAGCTATTACTTTGGTCATTACCTTTTGCTGTTCTGCTATTATGCACTTCCACAACCCCTTTCCCACCTCTAACTGGACTGAACTGAAAAGCAATTTGTGATGTGGTGATTGGTACTACAGATGGTATTTGCACAGTTACATGATTGTAACTACATTGATTTATCTTTCCAACTGACACATACACAAAGCACAGATATTTAATTTAAAAACCAAAATAACACTCAATCACAAAGAAAAACCAGTGAATGGTCCAGGTTATTTTAAGAGAACAATGCTGACTGGCACCTTTAACTAGGACCAATGTAAATACATGCATTCTAACCAAATTTGGGTAGAATTGAAGGAGGTCAGCTAGGACGCCAGGAGTAAAAGGGAACTATTTTTTCCATTCCACAAGAATAATTACTCCTTCTTGTGAGAGAATTCACTGAAGGAAGCTAGACACAAAAACAATCTCCAAACAGACCTTCCATAAATATTTGCTGCAGTCACTCTGGTTATGTCCTATGTGTTCCACCATATCTCCCTCTTCTTTTTCTTCTTCCACTCAAACTGCAATTCTACTCAAGTAACTGCTAAATTCCTTAGGGAAGTCACATAGTTGGAAGTGAAATCATCCCAAAAATACATCACAGCATGACTTCATCTCTCTCCCCCCAACACCTGTTGCTGGCAGCAGAGTTAACAGCCTTCCCAGCCTACACTTCACCTCTTCTTTCCATGCAACTCTTCATATTGAACACTAGGTGAGAGATGCTGAAACTTCCTACTGCAGAGGAACATCTCTCATATCAAAGCAGATTAATATCAGTATTTGGTTTTGATGATACAATTGGATTCAAATTCTTAAGAGAATTTAGCTCAGTGACAGATCCTGTTTTTCTGTTCTTCAGCACCTGAATACTTTCTCTTGGGGTTGTGCTTTTAAGTAGCCCAAATCTGTACTACTGTCAAGGGAGTTGGACAGTGGAACAAAAGCCCTTAGGAGCTTCCCTGCTATAATTAGAGAAGAATATAGTGGGAGATCACATTTCCCAATCAGACAAATTAGAACTAGTTAGGCATATAAGAGAGACCTGGTAAGGTTTCTATGGAAATGGATAGGAAATTGCTCCAAAAATCTATCAGTTAAATATTGTTAGGTACATGAATATACAACATTCATAAAGGAACATACTTCACATTAAACACTGCCAAACAGAGTCAAGGTATCACGTGGTAAAGTCCCAAAGCTTTCTTGTACAGAAAGTGGTGATGCAGCAACATATCATGTGGTAAAGTCCCAAAGCCTTCTTGTACAGAAAGTGGTGATGCAGCAACTAAGATTTTACAGTGCCTGATTAGTCTCTTTCTCGTATCACTGCGTGAACCTGAGTTCAGAACCACCCAGGCAATATTTCAAAATCCACTGCATGAACCTGAGTGCAGAACCACCCAGGCAATATTTCAAAATAACTGCTGCAATTTCAAGATGATTAAAACCCCCAGATTTATTTAAGAACTTGTTCATGACTTCAAGATTCTAGCTACTGGGGTAGCTGCACTACTGGATCAATCCATAGTTGATTTTTTCCAAATTGTATTAGGATTCAGCAAAGCAATCCTATTTTAGATGCATCGTTCAACATCTTTCTCCCCATTCCACATTCCCTGGATCACAGAATTCATAACCACTGAAAAAATTAAGTTGAAAAGGACCTCTGGAGGTCTCTAATCCAAACCCTGATCAAAGCAGAGTTATCTTTAAAGTCAGATCAGGTTGCCCAGGACTGAATCCACCGAAATTTGGAGTGTCTCTGCAAGGGCAGAAATCCTACAACCTCTCTAGGCACCTGTTCCACTGCTTACTCTCTTTTGCTGTGAAAAATCTTTTCCTTACACTCAGTCAAAATTTTCTTCCCTGCAACTTGAAACTATTGCCTCTTATCCTCCTGCTGTGCATCTTGAAGAAAAACATGCATTGCCTCCTATCCCCCTGCTGTGCATCTTGAAGAAAAACATGCACCACACTCTCCATACCCTCCATAGGTAATGAAAGGCAACAGTTAGATCCCCTCCTAGTCTTCTCTCCAAGCAGAACAGAACCAGCTTCCTCAGCCTCTTGTTGTGTATCACATGTTCCAGGGCCCTACTCATGTTGGTGGTACTGCCTGAACTCTCTGCAGTTTGTCAGTATCTTTCTCGTACTTAGCAGCTCAAAATTAGATGTAGCCTCAGAAGTGTTGAACAGCCTGGAAAAATCACTTCCCTTGATCTGCTGCTATGGTCTTGCTGGTGCAATCCAGTATGCTGTTAGCCTTTATCTCCACAAGGGCACAGCTGCTGCTTCATTGGTCACCTTGTAGTCCACCAGGAGCCTCAAGTCCTTCCCTACAAGGGAAGTCCTAGGCAGTGAGCCCCGAGCCTGCCTGGTTGCATGGAACTAATGCTGTCTCATGTTCAGGACTCTGTGTATCACTTTATTTAACTTCATCAAGTTGGCTGTTCCATTCCTCCAGCCTGCTGATGTTCTCCAAAAGGCAGCCCTGCTCCTTGCTATATCAACTGTTCCCTTCTAAGTAAGCCACAAACTTGCAGAAGGTGCTTTCCACTGCATCACCAATGTCCACGTTGTTAATGAAGTCGTTAAACTGCATCTGCCCCAGTCTCAACCCTTCAGAAAAAACCCCTTGCAACCATGTGCTAGTTTGACTCTGAAGTGCTGATCACTACTGTCTAAGTCAGGCAGGTGAGCCAGTTCTTCACTCAGCTAGCAGTCCATTACCCAACACACATCTCCCCAGCTTGTCTTGAAGCAATGGGGCAAACAAGCTCTACTGAAGTGAAAGCAAATGGTATCTACTGCTCTCCCATTGTCCAGTCACCTCACCACAGGGACAACCTGGCTGGTCAGGCATGATTTGCGACCCTAGACACAAGCTTTCACAGGAAGGTATCTTCCAGTCTTCTGTCATTGTGATGAAGTTGATCATGGTAAAGTTCACAGATTCTCTGTATCCTTCTCCTGCTTTCTGAAGATAGGCATTTTCCTTTTATTCAGTCTTCTGGAAAATCTCATCTGATTGCTGTGAATTTTCAGAAATTACAGAGTGGTGTAGCACTGCTATCAGCCAGCTTCTACAGCTCCCTTGGATGCACTCTGTCTGGTACTGTAGAGCTGTATACATCATGTCACTTTAAGTGAACCATCATTTACACTTCGTATACCACTGGTAGCATTTATCTTTTCCAATCTCTGCCACTAGGCACATAAGGACTCCAAGGTGTGAAAGCAGACCTTGTCACTAAACACTGAAGAAAAGTAGCATTGAGTACCTCAGTATTTTCCACACCCTTCATCAGAGGGCTGCCCCACTATTCAAGAGCAGACCTGCTCCTTTTCCTTCCCACTTAGCTCTAAATGCCTCTTCTTCCCCTTCAATGCTTTACTATTTCCCCACAGAGGTTACTGTGCTGAAGTACCATGGCTTTTCTTCCAAAAGCTGTACTGTTTTAAGACTGGTAGCTTTTAATTATTCAAATATTTTTGCATTCTGAATCATCGTCAGAAGAAGACAATTAAGAATCATAGAATTTTAGGGGTTGGAATGGACAGTACAGATCATCTAGTCCCAACCCCTGCCCTGGGCAGGGACACCTCCCAGCAGAGCAGATTGCTCAAGGCTCATCCAACCTGGCTGTGAACACTGCCAGG